GGGGGGTGCTTAGATTGGAGGTTGTCATGGCAATGAAGATGTCAAGTATGATCTTAAAGATTGTGACGCCATGTAATCTTCTAGGTGGTTACCACTGTTTCATAGGAAGGTATTGCCTCCATCTTCAGTTTTGAAGTGACTTCTCAGTGCAAAACATTGTTCTGAAATGGTAACCGCCTACAAATGTGAAGGTACTTTCTTGTGTAAAGAGTGGTTTTGCAATAAAAATCAAGAGGGTAAATTTCAAGAAGTAGGATTTCAGGTTCTCACAGCATTGGGAACAACGATAGCTGACTTCTGGGTTGAAGCACTATATATAGTCTGATAGAGGTCTGTCAACGTTGTATACATTCCTTGAGTGAGACCAGCCACATTAATACCATTTAACACTTATGGTTATTCCAAAGTTTACTAGCGTGAGCAGCTACTTATCTGTTATCTGTATTCTTTGTGTATTCTCATCTCCGAGTACAAACTCTGGACAGCTACAAGAAGCTCTCCACAGCTTAAGTGAAATTTCTTAAATTCTTTACAAGGTAAAGGTTGTGTGAAAGAAAGGAGACGCCATTGGTTGCACCACAAAAACTGTTCATATGCATGTCTTAACAGATACATGCATGGTCGTGGAAACACAAAGCGACACACACTGGCACTGGGTAGTGCAGAGGAAGTGCAAGAAGTTCAGCGGAAGATGGTCCAGCAGCAGCAGCAACAGCCACAACAGCAGCAGCAGCCACAACCAATGAGAACGAGACGTACAGGCTTGCACACTGTGATGGAAAGACCTCCAGGTAAGCAGTTCTGTTTTGAGTCCTGTATGTAATCTTTGTGGTTTCAGTGGGTATTCTTGTTAGTGTAATCATTTTTTTTTTTTTTTTTTGGTACTATTTCCTGAAATTTTGGCATGAATCTGTGTGATTTACTTTTGTTCACTGGTTTGGATTGCATTAGTGTATTTATAATTAAAAGTGTGCACCTATTTGTTAAAAATACATTTTATGTTATTGCAATATCTGGAACTGTATACATTGTTTATAGAGTAATGCATTTATTGCCGTATTTGTGTACCTCACTTGTTTATAAATTCTCTGCAGCTTTTAATTTAGTTTTGACATTTGTACATTTGTGAGTGTGTTTCTTGCATTCAGTACCCTCACAGAGAATCACACATAAAATAGGAAGAACCGCAAGTCTAAACATACATCAGTGTAGTCAAATTGGGCACAGTCACAACGAAAAGGTGCAGAAATGTACCCATTATCTTTGCTCTGTGTGTGTGTGTACGCGCGCTCGCCTGTCCATCCACCCATTTACATGTGTCAACTTGTATTTGGTCTGACAGTACCACAGCAATATGTGGCCTTGTATGTAAGTGCTCATAAGTCAGGAGAAAAAGAAAAGTTATCAATGTACGGTTATGCACAATGTGATAAGCATTTACTATAATCATCCCTACTAATCTCTGATTTGGAATATTCCTGACAACACTGAAAGGTGTAGGGCAAAGCAAAAGGGATGGAGTGTAGGAAATCTTAAAAGGAGGGGTGAAGATGGATAAGACTGGAGTCATGCTGGGCTAGTCCCACTGCAGACCAAAATCAAACTGTAAAGATAACTAATAAATCCTTGAAAAAGGTAGCAGGGTTCAAAATATTTGGCAATGACAGTAAGAAGTAAAAATTACTTTTACAAAGAAGTTGATTATATTTGGGAAATGTTTGTTGCTATTTGGTTCAGAATAATTTATCTCATATCTTATCTAATAACCCAAAGAATAAAATATACAAAACTGTTGATTTATATGGGTGCGATACTTAGTCTGTTACCAGAAAAGGAAGAACAGTGTGAGGATTGTCCTTCGGTTTTTCACAGCCATAATTTAATGTGTAAATTGAGATTTCCACGTCACATGTTGATGTCGCTTCGTTCCAGAAGACTTTGCAGTGCAGATACCTACAGACAATGTCACACTACTGAGCAGTTTATAAAAGGTTTATCATCCCAATTTTTATAGATGAGGGCAATCCAGCCATGTCTCTGAAGTGTTGAACATTAACTCTGTTGTTTGAACCAATGGCTACTCATCAAAATACTTCTAGAGCTACAAGATCATTCATTAGAACAAATGAAAACAATAATGTAATTAGGAAATGAGATCACATGGCACACACTTCCTACATCCTCTGAACGACTGACCATGTTTATAGGCTACTGAAGAAGAAAGATATTCACACCATTCAAAGACCTTTGAACAAAGTGACATCCGATCTCAGATCATCAGCATAGGTTAGATGCCTCCCAACACAAAGCTGGCATGGATAAAATCCCTTTCATGTTGTGCCGTCTACATTGGCCAAATGGGATGACAGGTCTCCACTAGAATTTCAGAACACATCAGAACAAGACTGGAGAACCAGTGATTGAAAGTGGCCAGACACATTATTGACATTGATGAAACAGAATTTGTAGGCAATATTCCTACATCATCAGGGAAGCCATCAGAACAACAACAAAAAACTACACACAAATTGAGCCATGAACATGAATGCAGGCTGACCAAAGCTAGGATTCACTCCTTTTCCTCCAAGCTTTTGTAATCTACTAAACCACCAGGCTTTCCCCATTAAATACCTGCAGAATGTCAACTGAGAAAATCCAAAATTAACCTCCTTCTTCGCCTCCTGCTTCTTTGTTTTTCGCAACCTTCTTAAGTATGGGGTTTTTCACACTTCATGTTTGCCCAGTTATGTTACTCAACTCCCAGGCCTGTATGACAGTTC